ACATGCTTCTGTTAGTCAAAGCGAATGCAAAGAAAATAACAAAGTGCAAAATATGTCTAAAGGCATGATGCATGAAATGCTCGAGGCATTAATCCAAAAAACGTGCCCGTTATTATGAATAATCCTTATTGAGGACAAAAGCGTTTTATCTTTTAAGAGACAAAAAATATCATGACAGCTTCTGACAGTTGACTAGTCTTCTTCCTTCGTCTATCACCGGTTGAATAACCTGTCGAACCGCATCGGCTTCTTTGGATGAACCATGCAAATGTTGAGTTGCTTTTTGTACTAGTCCAAGAAGTTTCGAATGACTGCATCTCAGGCATTTATCTTTTGTTGAGCATGTTCCCAACGAATACGTCATTAGAGCCCTCAATTGATAGGAACTATGTGGAGTTCATTTGTCTGTTTCTTGAATTCGTTAGCAATGGTCTCTAATTACAACTAACATTTTGTCATTGTTGTCTTCTAAGGGACTCCCAAGATCAGTAACCTTCATCTTGCCCCTGCAAGCTCTGCCAGTCAGTTCTTCCAAGATAGGTTTTCATTGTGCTTGATGTAGACCCAATTCATTCTGAGTCCTTTATAATGCAACAAAGTGATATACTCTTCAATTGTGGGCACCACGTCTTCGGGATTGAATGTGACACATAATCGCCTTGTAGACTGCCCTCTGCATTTTCATCTATTGTATTACAACCCCTTTGTCCATTAATATAGATTATTCATATTCAACAAACACGTTTTTGGTGAATCAACACCTCTTTCGAATGATGTGAATGATAAAAAAAACACAAAGGTAAAAGAGTTAGTAAAAATAAAGAGTAAATAAAAAATGATGAAAGAAAAAGAGTAAAAAGACAAAAAACAACATGGTTAGGGTGAAAATATCCTATGTTTTGGAATGTGGTTTCGGGGTAAGCTCTAAATCTCCATAGTCTCCCGGTTTAGGTTCTAAAAAACGGTACCCGAGTTCTCCTTGTTGGCGCCCCCTTGGGCTTACCAGACCCTTAGTCATAAACCCATCACAGGCATGTGTGGACTAAGTTAAACTCGAGAGGACACATTCCCTTATGTCTGTGAGGTGAATAAATTCACACGAAGACATAAGATATATGAATCCCGAAGGCTACTTGCTAGGCCTGTGCGGTGAATAAATTCACACGAAGGCGTAGCTTTCACCTCCATTTAAATAGGGTTTGGAGCTCGAGTTTAGAGCCTTAAGTAAAAAACAAGCTTTGAAGGCTGAAATCATTGGAAAACAATTAGTACAACTATTTACTTGAAAATATAATCAAACGTAAGTAATAAGGATCGAAATGTTACCTTACAATTTAAACTTACATTTTCGTTAAAAAAAATATTGGAAATTACCTTAGCCTGACTCACTTACCTGTGTCCTAGTGGAGTCGCCAAACTGTTGTAACCGTCCTTTAGTTGGGCCCCAGAATTGGGCTTCGACTTAGGAAAATGGATTAGGAGTCGCCACCGGTCATTTATTTTAAACAAAATGGGTTGACCGGATACCTTATTTCATATCTGATCTACGTCTTACCAAAGATGTGTCAGATTCGGGAGTCAGTTACAGTCAAGGAAGGGTTAGTACCCTTGAACTGCCCTTTCGGTACTACGTAGTTTCCAGTTGTCTTAAATTAAGAAAATTGTAATTTAAAATTAAAAGGTAAAATGGCGATCCAAATTTCTTACCACTGATTGATTTAAAATCATCCTTAAACAAGTTCAGATGAATGTTAGTGAGGAGAAAAATGAAAATGAAATAGAGAAAAGACAAAGGAAATAAAAATAAGAGAAAATAACCTCAGTGACAAAAAATGCCTTATAATATATGATTTTAACCAACGTTTTTTGGATTTGCCAAAATGACCAACTAAACCGCAATGCGATCGATAATTCGCAACGCGATCTCCGGTATCGCAAATCAGTTTCCAAATTCGCAACGTGAACTTCGACTATCGCAACGCGAACTTGGACTATCGCAATGCGATTTACACATTCGCATTGCGATAGTCCAAGTTCGCGTTGCGATAGTTAAAGTTCGCATTGCGATTTTCCAAATTCGTTGCAATAGTCGAAGTTCGCGTTGCGATTTATTCTAAATTCGTTGCGATAGTCCAAGTTCGCGTTGCGATTTATTCTAAATTCGTTGCGATAGTCCAAAATCGCAACGACTGGTGGTATTGCATTTGTTTCTTAAGAATTTTCTCTAAAAAAATAGTATTCGTGCGGATGTGTCGAAGACACGTATTACCACGACCACGACCACGACCACGAGACGAGACGAACGGCGGCGGCGACGGCACGCGAGAGTCCCCCTTGTTCTCTATCACTCAACAAGGAAGTGGGAAAGCCAAGCCTTAAATACCATTCCTAATAGTGTTTCCAATACTATGTGGGATTGAGCATTACCAACACTTGTTTCCAATACAATGTGATTATTCAGGAAACAATTAACAATCATGCACCTTAAAACAACTGAATCAACAACCAATTGCATTAGTATTATACGATTAAATATGTCATAATTAAAAGTCAATCTACAATCAATCGCAATTATTGTAATTTTAAGCAAAACATTCAAAAATAATATCACTATTTAAGGCTCAATCCCACATAGTATTGGGAACAAGTGTTGGTAATGCTCAATCCCACATAGTATTGGAAACACTATTGGGAATGGTATTTAAGGCTTGGCTTTCCCACTTCCTTGTTGAGTGATAGAGAACAAGGGGGACTCTCGCGTGCCGTCGCCGCCGGCGTCCGTCTCGTCTCGTCTCGTCTCGTCTCGACTCATGGCCGTGGTCGTGGTCGTGGTAATACGTGTCTTCGACCCGTCCGCGCGAATACTATCTTTTTAGAGAAAATTCTTAAGAAACAAATGCAATACCACCAGTCGTTGTGATTTTGGACTATCACAAAGAATTTGGAATAAATCGGAACGTAAACTTCGACAATCGCAACGAACTTGGAATAAATCACAACGCGAACTTCGACTATCACAACGAAATTGGAATAAATCGCAACGCGAACTTCGACTATCGCAATGAATTTGGAATAAATCGCAACGCGAACTTCGACTATCGCAACGAACTTGGAATAAATCGCAACGCGAACTTAGACTATCGCAACGAATTTGGAATAAATCGCAATGCGAACTTCGACTATCGCAACGCGAACTTGGACTATCGCAATGCGAATATGTAAATCGCAATGCGATAGTCAAAGTTCGCGTTGCGAATCTAGAAACTGATTTGCGATACCGGAGATCGCGTTGCGAATTATCGATCGCATTGCGATTTAGTTGGTCATTTTGGCAAATCCAAAAAAAGTTGGTTAAAATCATATATTATAAGACATTTTTGGTCACTGAGGTTATTTTCTCAAAAAAATAATACGAAGATAGAAAGATGAAAAAAGGACATACATATGAAATAACACTAAACATTAAGGACATATGGATAAAATAAAGGTAAATAAAACAATAGAAAAAAAACTAAATAAATAAAGTGAAGATGAAAATATATACATATATATATAACATAAAGTGAATAAAATAACAAAACCATTAATATAACAAAAGGAGTGTAAATAAAATATTAATAGTGTACATATATATACATATATATATATATATATATATATATATATATATATATATATATATATATGATAAAATATAATAAGAAAATAATCAAACAAAGATTTAAGAATATACGTATCATAATAATAAGTTAAAAAAATATATAAGAATATATATACATATATAAAACGATATATATATTATATATATAAAAATAAAATATATATATACAATAATACGAATAATAAAAGGAAACAAATAAAATATTTATATAATGAATAAAGGACTAATATGAATAAAAAGCCAAAAATGGGGCCGAATTTGGAAAATGATTAGTGTCAGAATTGCAAATCAAGGGTGAAATGGAAGTTTCAGAAAACAGGGGACCAAAAGCACGGTTTACCCTTCTTCTTTAGAAAACACGCGGGTTGCTTCCAGCTGGGTCGGGTCGCACGGGTCGGTTCGGGTTTCATGGGCTCTGTATAAAGGCCAAATAATTTTTTTAAAACTTCATTTCTCTTCTTCCCAAACCAAAACGCCCCTCTCTCTTAGTGTTTCTCTGAAATGTTCTTCCACACGAAGAACAGATGCCGCGATTACCAGATTCTGACAGTCCCGCCACCTCGCCGGTGCCGTTCATCGGTGGCGAAACACGAAAAAAAATATTTTTAAAAATTGCTTTTATCAACTATTCGAAAACAAGGTTTGTTTTTTCAAAAATGCCTCGGAAATGCGTAGATCTAGGAAAAATGTTTTGACCACCACTCCCTCCTTTCATCGGCGGTTGGGTCGTACACTCAAAGAAAACAACATGCAAGCCTCAAAATGAAAAAAGGTGAGATTTTTTTACCTTTATTGCTTTCGAAAATTTAAAAATAATGCTTCGAATACACTTGGTTTGCTTGTATCTCTCTCGATCTTTTCTGGTATTTTGTGTGCGATATTCGTGTGTAATCTGTGTATATTCCATGTGAAAATATGTGTTGTTTGCAGGTCTTATTTATAATCCTATACATATCTTATTTATAGGAGTTTAACTCTAGTGAAATACTAATTTTCTTGTTTGCTGATGACCTTGTGTGCTTCCCTTGCGCCGGAGTTTACGGGATTGGTGGTTGTTGCGTCGAGAGAATCGGGCTTGTTGAGCGGCTGGAGACTCATACGTGGAGAGACGTGCGAGACAGGGGCTTCAAACAAGCGGCGCACTAGGGTTTGCTGCTGGGATGCACACGTGGGTTTCTGTAGATTGGGTCTGCCAAACGGGCTGCTGAGATGTTAGGCCACGTGTTTCATTTGCTAGGCCATTTGGACCTTTAGGGAAAAACAAAATGTAAATGTATTATATTTATAATATAATAATATTATAATTTATAATTTCTACGGTCGAAATTAAGTGTCTTCAGGTAGGACTACACTCAGCAGAATTCCCAGTACCCAAAGTTTATGCTGAAAAAAAAACTGTAAAATACAAGATTTCTTTCTTTTTGTAACTGTAAAATAAAAGATGAAATAATATTAGATAAGATTAACCAGGAACCAGGACCATGATTTGAGGGTCCCGGTCCGACACCGCAACGAACGACCATGTTCTTGTCTCTGTCAATATTTCTCAACCAAATACTAGTGCCCAGAAATTGCAGATTCTGCTTTCTAATGATCCGATGCCTTTTTGCCTTGTGTTTTGATATCACCAAGAAATGGGTAAAACGTGTAATGGCAGGCTGAAATTTGCAGGTCGACTCCATTTGAACTTTGCATGAAAAGATCAATGCTGAAGTACTCGACATAGCTTGTATTGTTACAGATTTCCTTAGTGTCTTTGAAATGAAGCTAACGCTTATGTAAGAAGAGAAAACAAAGAGAGAGAGAGAGAGAGAGAGAGAGAGAGAGAGAGAGAGAGAGAGAGAGAGAGAGAGAGAGAGAGAGAATTTCGCACTTCATGGAAAATGCATGTTTTTCTTGAAGAATTTATAGCGTGTTTTATACACATATTGATATAGGTGGGAATAGGAAGAAAAACAAATATTTTGATTCTTTGGGTAAATTACTTCAAATGTCACTATCTTTAGAGTTTGTATCAATTTTACTACTGAATTTTAAAATGCTTCAGTTTTAGCATTCAACTTTGATTTTGTCTTCAACTTAAGCATTGGGCCGTTAAATTGTTAACATTGTAATGATGTGCCCATTTTCTTTCACATGAACTTTAGTTTGTGTATTGGTTTTATCACTAAACTTTAAAATATTTCATTTTTAGGCATTGAATATTAATTTGTGTATTATTTTGGTCTTTGTAGACAATCGTCAACCGTTTTGATCGTTTTTGTTAGTCAATCGTAACCTATCACTAGTCGTCATTTGTGGCAAGATCGATTCCAAAACTTGCACACTTATATTTCTTCTCCTTGGATTGGTTTTATATGAAATTCACTTAAAATTGACAAAAATTTATCTAAAAATTTGACATTCTAATATTTTGATCTCCTTCAACTATCATCCAATGAGGATAGTTTTGACGTAAATTTGTCTTCTTCTCGAAAGAATGGTTCTTATTGTTTGAATTTTCGAACAAACACCCTAAACTCCTCAAATCCGAGAAAGCCTCCAAACTCTCAAAATGATAGGTTTTTTTATGTTTAATTTCGTAAGTTTAAAGAGATTTTGAGAAAATCTAAACCAAAATGTAGTAGAAGACAATGAGACGAGTTTATAGATGTCTGGGTGATCCAAAAGATGACGAAAAATGATGGTTTCATACTACATCTAAAAAATGAATGAAAAAAAAATCCTAACTTTGATAAAGAAGATGATAAGGTGGAATAAAAATATTTTTGTTTCCACGTCAAATCAAACTACCACATAATCCGGTTGTAAATGAGTCCAATGATTACATTGAAGTTAAAATTAAAATATTTTAAAATTTAATGGTAAAATTGATATAAACTCTAAAGTTAGTGATATTTAGAGTAGTTTAATCTAAATTTTATCTAAGAGACAATGAACCCTAATCTTTGTTTGCATATTTTCCAAAAAAACAAAATCTCTATTTGCATGTTGAATATCTTTTATTATATGTTTTCAAATTTCTTAGAAGTTTCATCCTAATTGAATTCAGTTGTTTCCCCCCAAAGGAATAATATGTTGGAAACCCTTAAATGATATGAAAACGTCAAATATGATATCTAAATGTAAAAATGTTCTTAATTTAGGAAGTGAAAAGTTATGATCACTTTGTCAGCTAATTCCATTGCTTGCTACTAACATATTTCTAAAAGGTAATTATCCGATTGAATTGTTTTAAATATGACTATCACACAATTACGTTACCTGATCATTCACCTGTTTGAAATGTTTCTAGGAGTTTTTATAATATTTTGATAATTCAAGGACGTGTAAAACTTATCCAAGTTTTACCAAATCATGACATTTTTTAATTAATATTCTAGGCCCAAACAATTTCAATAGATTTGTTTTCCACTTTTGGGCCTAGTTTTATTTTAGATTAAGCTGGAATTTTGTCTTGCTTATATTTATGGGAACAAGAATACTATTGCTACAAGAGATTTATCTCTTTCTTCTATCTATCTTCAATTAAGAGTTATTATTTGATACACCATTAATAACAACAATTCTAAATATATATTAGTTTTTCACAAATTTTAAAAATATATATAACACATGTCATCATATTGATAACAATCGTAACATTATTTTCTTTCATTAACGCTGTATCAAATAATAATTTTTTAAATTATATTCTCAAAAGTTAGTATACTGATATATATATATATATATATATGATTTAATGTAATTGATAAGAATAAATGATTTTGATATAACAAAATATATATTTATATTAATTTTTGTAAAACTAATTTTAAGTCCTTAAAATTTATCCAATATCTAAAATAAGTCTTTCAAGTTCAAATTATGTCAAAAATATCATTCAAACTCTTTAGAACGATTTTCAAAGTCATTTTTCTCAAATTGTCAAAAATTATCTTTTAAAACAAACTTTGAAAATTCTCTAAGAGTTTCAAAACTTACCAAAACAATGGACTTTAGAGTTTCAAAACTTCACAAGAGTTTCGAAACTTTCACAAGAGTTTCGAAACTTCCCTTTTAGTTTCAATACTTTGGGTTCCAACAGTCATTTTTTAATTCCTCTTTCGAGAGTTTTCAAACTTTCCCCATAGTTTCGAAACTTTGTATGCAAGTAGCCTTTAATGCACGAATTTAATGCTTCAAATGGCTCCAAAAATCCCTCCAACAATGAAAACCAGCTCTAAAATCCCTCTAACAACCACAAATGACTCCAAAATCCCTCCAACAACCATAAATGGCTAGAATTCAATGAGGGCATATAAAAGGGGTTTTCAAACTACCAAGAAGAGGAAGAAAAACTATTCCAACAACCAAAGAGCAATTAGAGCCAAATTTGTATTCCATTGTGTTTTTCTTTCATTTGAACACTATTCCACTCATTGTCAAGTTTATTCTAGTGTTCTTGGGTGTGTGTGAGAGCTTCAATTTGTAAACAATTTATCTTTGTGTGGATATTCAAAAGTTTTCTCATTTGTAAGTACTTCTTGGGAAGGGTTGAACACTCAAGGTTTTGGGGGTATAAGTCTTAGCGTTGTGTAAGAGTACATATTATCCTAAAAGGTTAGAACAAATTAGTGAATTTGTTGAAATTATTAGTTAGGAAGCTAAGGTAGTGGATGTAGACTTCATTAAGGAAGTTGAACCACTCTAAATCCTTTATGTCAATTTATTATTTATTGCTCAAGCTTCCAACAAATTTTTATTGCCAATTCACTCCCTCCTGGCCACTTTCATTGATTGATTGACTCAACAATTAGTATCAAAGCGAGATCCATTGGAAGGTTTTACCACCATTTGATAAGATCCTAGAAGAGTTAAGTAATCAATCTATTCATCCATGGCCTCTACACTAAGTTTCGACATTGTCAATGATTCCCAACCTATCAACAAATCTCCTTACTTCAATGGAGCCAACTATGCCTATTGGAAGAATATAATCATGCTTTTCATTCAAGCAAGTGATTTGGGAGCTTGGAGCATCACGATGAGAGGACATTCTACTCCAATTAGAGAAATGAATGAGTGCAATGAAGAAGAAAAGAAATTCTTCCAAGTAAATCAAAGGTAATGCACATTCTATTTTGTGCACTTGGCCCCCACGAATATGGAAGGGTTTTATCTTATTCCAATGCCAAGCTGATTTGAGATGAACTTGAAGTTACTTATGAAGGAACTAATGAGGTAAGCGAAACTAAGATTTGTGATAACCATGTAAAAAGGCTATATTATGTTCCTTTTCACTTAGGTTATTAACCATCTTAGAGCTCATTTAGATTCATATGGACGCATTTAGGATCATATCATTGCACGTGGTGGAGCTATTTTGTCGTAGCATTTTATTTTATTTTATAAACTGATGTTGCTTAATGGGGAAAGTTGTGGTTGTTTGTTGACGAACAGGTGATGAAAGAAAATGATATAAAGGAGATTTGCTGTAGCATTTCTAATTGATAAAGAAGTGGAAGAATGCTGCAGCAGTTTGGACAACATTCCTAGGATTAGAAAAAGACTAAAGATAGGAAGATATTTCTATTAAAGGAGCTAGCTGTCTAACCCACACATGGTCCCCTCCAGCCAGCTACCATATGAGGACCACCATCATCATTGTACACCCTTTCATGTGAAGGGAATGATACTTAGGGTATAAATGGAATTTGGCATAAAACCCTAGGACATTCCCTTAGTATAAATAGATAAGGATGTCATACAATTAAATAAGAGTCTTTTTGGGAAAAGGATGAGGTAGGCGAGAGTGAAAGGAGGCTACAAAGCTTCCATTTTTCTTCCCTTTTTTATCTTCTTCGTGGTGTCCTTCATAGCCAAGCTTCAAGCGGATAACAAGCTAGGCTTTGAGAGAAGTTGTTCTCGGTGGCCCAAGGAGCTCACGACAGCGCGTGTATTGGGAGTTTCCTCTTACATTTTCTTTCATTTTATATATATTTTATGGGTTTTTTGGAAAAATATTTCTTTGCATGATTTGTACCCCACCATTAACTAACCTTATTTGGTGTGGGTTAACTATGAATGATTAAGTTTTTTTAATGAATGGTTTATATTTTTATGTTAATATTTGGTTTTCTCATTGTATTTATTTACTTAGGATTCTAAGAGATTACGAGAGTGTCATTTTCCTAAGTTTGATGCCTAATATTCGAGAGAGTTTGGTGGGATCAACGTGAGCAATGGGGGTTAGCTACTAACTAGGTCCTAATTCACCTTAGAGATAAGGATAGGATTTCAATTACTAAAAGGGGTAATACTTAATCGATAGGATTTGTGCCGCAGTTCACTTTGAGAGGTATTGCCATAGAATTTTATTCTGTCAGGTCCCTTACTAGAGATATCCTAAGGACAATTTTAGCAAACTGTATCGAGCAAGTAGGCATAGAAGGCTTGAACCATTCCAGAAGGCAAGGCTTAGGATTTCTTAGTGACCCTATCAATTATCCTCATTGTAGCTTGTTTGTGTGCAGTTGCCAACTATCTTTGTCATTCCCATATTCTTAATTTAATTTTCTTTAGCATTTTTAAGTTGTTATAATTCATTTTGTTGTAGCATTTCTAATTGTTACATTGTCACTTTGTCATTGCAATTCCATCACCATACACTTCATTTTACCTCAGCATTCTCAATACATAGATATACTTAGTGGCACCCTTTTTGCTACAACATCCTTTAAAATCCCTCTAATCCCTATAGAGACAATACTCACTCACTATTATATTACTTGT